ACTACAGTAAATTACAATGTAAAATAAAGCAAGCACCCAAACCTTTAAAAGGTTAGGAAATGTAAAAACAACCCATCCATCCAAACCATAATTATTGACAGTGCTTTTGACCTATGCACGACTCTCCTACTGCAATTTAGGTAATATTTTACTACAAAACCTTGATAGTGAGGTTGTTGTAACTTGTCCTACATACAAAGAGTATGTAGCCAATGGGTACCCCAGACAAATTCTCTTAGATGTTTTATAAATTACTATTTCAGGCATTTTCCTACTTCACCTCAAATAAGCTCTGTGTTTTCTTGGATACTTTAATGCATTTTTATGTGTTTGAAGTAAATGTAGAAATTCAAATCTCAGTATGCAAGAGTTAGTAGCATTCACAGTGCAAGTTGATTGTGATCTGAATATGATTCACTGGATTGAATTGCTCTTAATTTATTGAATTTCTTTGGTTTAAGGTGAAACAGTGAATGTATAGCAGTTTCTAAAATCTGGTCTGAAAGCTGAATGTATTAAAAAGTCTCTGGAACCTGTGAAAAGCCAGGTACTAGCAAATAGGGAAAAAAAAAAGAACATTACAGAGTGAATATGGTTTGTAGCTTGTAATAAACTGTAAATATACTCAGGGCTCTGGCAAGACACATGCTGTGGAATACTTCACTCCTTCAGACATTCCTGAGAGGATCAAGGCTATGGGACTAGAAAATAAGAGCAATGGATAATGGAGCATAATATTTTTTTTGCAGCGTATCTTTGATGAGTGCACATAGTTGGTAGAGTTCTGTAAGATACTTGTAACTGTCAGGACTTGTTTTATATGCTGAAGTGAGTTTAAAACTAATTTTTGACACCTGTGAACACAGGGCTGGCCCCAGGACTAGACAGTGGAGTTTGAAGAGAATTAGCCAGACGGTTTAACTGCTCCATAAAAAGGGAAGAGATCCGTGTGACTGCTATTACTTTGGCTGTGAGAGTGACAAAGCACAGCTGCTCATGAGAAGTCCTGCCTCTCTGCCCACTTCTAGGAAGCATTTCAAGTGACAGTTCTTTAATGAAGGTAGCTATCTTTGCAGTTTCATGTGTTCTCCTCAATCTTCTCATTTGTGTAGCACTCTGCAGCCATAGTTCAAAGTGAAATCCCTCTGCCTGATGAATTCATTGCTGCCTCCATTTCTAGATAAGACTGCTCCAGGAAGAAGAGGCAGTTTCTTTCATAGTTGTTCTCTGCTGCTTGTGCTGCATCAAGAGGTGGGCCCTCTTGAGCTGCCCACCTCTTGTCACAGGCAAGGATGGTTCCCTCATAGCAAAAGGCTCCAGAGGAATTGTAGTCATGAAGAAAAAGATGTCAATAGCCATATTCTGTAGCAAAAACAGCTGGCAAACCTTCCAATATAGTTTATAAGGCTCAGCAAATCAAGAGCTAATATTCTAAAAATAAAACAGACAGGAAGTTGAATGCTCTAGCTCCTTGAATAGTCAGAAAACAGCTGCAATGATCTAGACTGGTGGGATTTATGAGAGACTAGTCCTGTAATTCGATATACATGAGTGCTATGGCCAAGATTCTTTCTGCTTTGTTGGTATCCCCGTGAATTTAGATACGGGTGAGTAGAATTGATTGACAAACTTACCTAGTCTTCATGGAATAGGATTTAGCATTCTGCTGCACACGGACACTTTATTTGTCGCTAAAAGAAATCATAATGTTGTATTTTAGAAAAGCAAGAATGTTTTTATAGACTGTTTCTGATCTAATGTTTCACTAAATTGCAGTTCATAGAAAAACAGCAATGACCTTTGATAACTGTGTGTGTTCCTGAGTGGTCCACTGAGAAAAGTGAAAACATAAATATATTGGATTGTCTTTTACAGTTTCATCTTTTCTTTTGACCATTATAATGGGAATGAGGTTCAAGAGGTCCAAGAAATTAATGCCAGCTGGACTAGTAGCATGCCTGAGGTAAATACATATTGTAGATCTTACTGTAAAGATTTCACTAGTTATTAAATAGTTGCCATTTCACACTCGATTCAAGGCACTGTTGGTGGAAGTCACTGTCATTCCGCAACTACACAGCTGAAGTGAAATTAGTTTGGAGGTCACAGTCCTGTTTCCAGTGAGCAGCTTTTTCATCTTACTAGGCAGATACAACTGGTAAGAGGTGACTTTCTCAGCACAGAAAGGAGAGGTCAGCAATTAAATATTAATGCATATTGTTAAGGCTTTTGGAATAACCTAGATAAGCCTTAGTGTTTTTGAACACGTAAAATTTGTCTAATTTCATACCACAGTCATCTTTTAAAAAAAAAAAACCAAAACAAAAAGGCCAGCACGTTGGTTTAGAAGTGCTGCATTCGAAACTACTGGAAGCACAGTACTTCTGAAAATCAGGACATTTTTGACCTAACCTCAAAACTTTGGCCAGTATTAATGCAAATAAAAAAAAAAAAAATCTGGCTGTTCCAGCTGCTTTATTGCTGCTGTTCAGCATTCTGGAAAAATTTCTGAATCTATTGATTTGGAATTAAATTATGGAGTAAGTTCAGAACTTTTTTCCCAATGAGTCTGTAATGCAAAACATTTTCCAGGTGTAAATCAGAATCCCCATCTTCTGAAGGAATAATAACTGTTGCTCTGTCATTTTAATATTGCAGATTTAATATATCACCATTCTGTTTTACTTCAGTTACATACAGGGAAGAAAAAATCAGAAGCAATTTGTCAAAATTTAAGCAAAATTTAAGAATCAGGACTTACACTGGAAAATGTTATTGTCCATTGTGGATTGCTTTTCCAGGCTAGGTGGGTTTTGTTTTTCTAGACACTGAGACTGGAGATCTGGACACCTGAAAAGATGGCTTAGTAGAGACTCTAGTGTCAGTTAGTTATGAATGCACTGTTATTTAATGATGACTTTCACTGATTTTATTAATGACAGCCATATTTATGTTTTCTTGTTTTGGTTTTTTTTCAGCCTTTTGATGATTTTGAGGCTTGTTTTTATGCTGCTGTAGGAGAATTTAGAACTGAATATAAAATTGCCATGCCCACCAAACAGACATGCTCTCTGTACTTGAAAGACAAGATTGAACACAAGTCTTACACTGCATTTATATTTTCTGTAAAAGATCTGTACCTGTTAATTGATTATTGACATGTGCTGATATTTTAAAAGCTTTTTTTAAAAACTAAAGCAAGTTTTTAGTTGGTGTATTTTGATCTACTTTCATTTAAGCAGTCTATTAATTCATGGAATTTTTCTTTGTAAGTTTGATCTCTTTAGGGGTGCGGAGCACCCCAGGAAATTGAATTACTCTTGCACTGTATCTCTGAAAGAATATCTATAAATACATGTTTATGCTAAAAAGGTATCTTGTATTGAAGTATAATTTTGTAGTTTCTGAGATTAAATAATCAGTTCTAAATCAAAAAAGTCTTGGGCCTGTATTGTGTTGCACTCAAAAACCAACTTCTTTTCCAACACATGTTCTTGTTACCCTGGTTCTAAATATAAAAAATGAGAGTTCAAATAAAATGTAAAATGTTTGAAGCTTATTTTTTTTTTTTTTTAAGCAGTGAGCCATTTTGTCAATTTAAGAGTCTGGTGCTCTGCTTTGTACTCAGTAGTGGTTTAAAACATACACCATGCTGTAAATTGCCAGTGACATGATCCATGGCTGAGGTTTGTCATGCTACACAGAGGTTCCAAGCTCTCAGTACTCTGGAACAGGTTTGCCATTCCATTCTCACACAGATTATTTTGCTGAATTCCCCCCTGCCATAAGCAGAAGAGCGTTCACTGAAGTTGCTTTGATTTGTGTAAAACATAAATATTCCTGGGGTCTCAAAGCTTGGCTAAGACTGTCTTCTGGTGTACAGGGAATATAAGCAAAATTGTTAGGAAGCAGTATGGGTGAGTGCAGTCTTGAAGACAAACAGAAATTTTGCTGCTTTTTATTTTCTTCATACAAAGCTTGCTTACGAAGGTTATTGTGTACCACAGTATCCCCTTTGTGATGGTTCCTAAATCATAGCACTTGTTTGGAAGAGAGGAGTAGCCCAGTGAAACGAGTACTGTGCTGGGCATGGCTAAGCACTGCTTCAGCTATCGAGGTAATTTTAATGTAAACCTGTTTGGAAGTCAGCGGTGCCCAGGTGATGGGGCACTTGTGCTTTGTACCTCTGAGATGCACATGGCTCTTCTAAGGCACAAGTCAGGGAAGGAGTTAACTTTGCTGGGCAGCAATTCTTCATGTACACTGGCTGACTGCCAAATCAGTTGGAGTCCTGCTGAGGAGAAACAACTAAGTGCAAAGGATGGTTTATGGCAATGTTCTTAAAGGGAGCAGTGATTGTTCCATTAAATTAGGGTAAAGAATCTGATAGAGTAGTGCATGCTTTAAGCACTGTTGAGGTAAAACTCACTCTTACTGAAAAGATAAGCAGCCTTGCAAGTGCACTTGGCTTTATAACTGTGGGAAGTGACTGCAGAAGGTAAAACCTTACAAAAAAACACTCAAGGGGCATTTTCCTCACTGACCAGCCAGCCAAGCAGCAAAAAGAGCAAGGGAGTAGGTGCTCTCAGCAGATGAAAACCACAGCAGGCCAATTAAACACAAGGACTTTGATCTTTCAGTGAAAAAAATCACTCCTAAGAGATTCATGTGGGGATTAGAAAAGTTTTTTAATTCTGCCCATAAACTTAAAAGGATCATGAATTTTATTTTTAAAGGTTTTATTTCCTTGATTTTTAAGCTGTGAAATACATCAGGGAGAGAGTGAACTTTCTAGGAGACCACCTAGAGGCCACTAGAGAACCAACCCAGAAGATTCTAGGCCTGAATTTAAATGACTTCTTAGTTTTCAGGGTGTGGCTCCTGTCTCTGGCAGTTTATAAAAGGGGGTTGGGGATCATCTGGCTTTTCTACCGTACTCCGGAAGCTGTAACTGAGCATTGTACCCTACCAGGCATGCCTTTAATTGAACACACACCAAGTGTCAGCATATTTTATTTAATATAACTGCTTCGTGAAATTCTTCTTTCTGGACTCAACAGGTACAAATTAGCCTTTTACTCTCATTTAACAGTGTATTGTTTCAACACTGGCCATATGATGCAAGTTACAGAGCACAGCTATGCAATTTACTCTTACAAAGCAAGTTCTGGTAATATACTACAGTTGGGTTATCTTCATCAGATTAGATATTGAATATTTTCCTGATAACAGCAACAGACTTCTCATCTGTTGGTGGCTTCCTCTGGCTGCCAGGCTGTAAGAACTTTTTGATTGTTGGAATGTTGCTGATTCTTCCTTTAAAAGCCTGTAAGAAGCAACAGTAAAGCCAGTCAGATTAAGGAAATTGTAATTCCATCCTTTATAGTTTAAAGGTCAGGTGACTTAGATTTTTACTTGTCAGACATACTTACTAAATAGTAAAGGGTACTAACTTTTTCTGATCTGTAATGCTGGTGCTATACCTTAGTTTCTCAGATGAGAATGGGAGAAATTAATATTAAAGAGTTAAGATTCATCTTGTAAAATGTGGAAGAAAAAACCCCCACATCCCAATCCTGCAGATATATTTGAGGAAAAAAGAAGGCAAAGACAGGAATATTTCAGTGCAAAGCACTACAGAAGTCAAGACATAGGAAACTTAACTGCTCTTTGTATATGATTTCTTAAAAATGTAATTTTTCTGGCAAAAAGAAAAGGACAGGAACTGCAGACACACCAGGCCACAGACTTTCCTTCTGGATATTGTTGTTGTGTTTGAAGACACGGAAGTAGCAGTGAAAGGACCAAATTAGTAGCACTAGTGAGTGAATTCCTGCCAGCTGAGAACAGCTGGGAAAAGCAGAAGTGAAGAATGGTGAGTCCCCAGCAGCCCTAGGGCAAGGCAGTGCACTGAGTGCAGGTTTTTGGAGTCGAACAGACCAGAGAAGTGTCAGTACAATGGCTCAAAAGATGTAAACATCCATAAACTTTTAACAACAGTCAGTGAAATTTGTTACCTTCCAAATTCACACCAGATGATTACTAACCTGCAGCAGAGGGAATGCAGACAGTGCATCAGGCTTACACTCTTCTACCATTAAAATGGCTTCCAGCAGATGGATATCTGCCCAGCTTAATTTGTTGCCAACAAGATAATCCTGTCCATGATCTTTTAAGGCCTGTACAGTTTGAACAAATAAACAAAAAAATTCACATGGGATGTGACAATTTTATCTAGGTATTTCATTGCAGATAGATTTCTGAAAAAACACAGCAGAGCAAAGCCATGCAAGAACCTATGAAGTTAGAAAGTGATACATATTCTTTAAACAAAAAATTAAACCAGAATTCATGTTTCAGTGTATATGATCCCGTCTCTCACTCTAACCTACTGCACCAGGTAGCTGTATACCAGGTCCAGTACCACAAGAAAGACTTAATCACACAAAAGAAACAGGACTAAAGTAATTGGAAGAGGTAGCCAGGCCAGTTTACATGTAAGCACACCTGAATTTTTAAGAAAAATGTTAAGTGAATTTCCAGATATTTCAGCAAAATTTGAGACTGCTGATTACAGTTTGAAATATGTCAGAATGAAGGACTACGACCTTCCCACCCTTTATCCCGTTAAGGAAGGACTCCTTTGTGGAAAACTGCTGATGCAAGAGTCACAGCCTGCCATAGGTACTACAAGTGTAGTAGACAAGTTGAGATGAACATTGCAGCACAGCTGCAGAGCAGTTACCAGCTCTCCAGCCCACCTTTGTCCTGAAGACTGTCACCCTCCTATCAGGAGCAAGAGAAGGCCATGTCTGTGCCTAGGTCACACTAAGGTTACTCTTGATTAGCAAATGTGCAGTAAGACACCAGTCTGTGACTCTGGAAGCCAACTCCTTCTCCAGGCCCATCTGCCAGTTCTGCCACAGAGGCAGCAATCATGGGCAGAGTCACAGCTGATCCCTTCACATAGTTACTTCCTACACTGCTCTAACAAGGCCTAGCACAGCTTGTTTATCAGACTATGTGGAAACTCCCAAACATAGCATTGGAATTGATTGCCTGCAGGGCTTCATATTGCCTTTTGCTGCTCCATCTGGCTGCTGAGTGTTTAAAGTGAACACACACAGCTAGGTATGTTTCCTGTAAGTTTCCAGAATGAATAACACATAGTCTGCAAACCCTGATAAGCTGAAACAACAGACATCTTCAACAGCTGGTACAGAAAGAAAATTATTAACCATCTTAACAAAATTAACTAGGCTAAAATATAATGGAAAAGTTCAGCTGTGTCTTTATGTAAGCAAACAAGGATTTCTTTAAAGACTCTCCTACATGGAGCATACATGCTAAAACACATCACAACAGTAGTTTATGCCACCTAGGCACAAGTTTAGAGAATTTTGGTGCATTTTTTATTGTTTAATAACTTAAAATACGTATCAGACTTTAATCTTTGAAAGATTTGAAAGATCAACACTTCTCAGCACAGCCCTTCATTGGTATGGCAGTGGATATATATGAACTCTGATTACAGAAGTGCTGGATTATCATTTATGTTGTTATTTTACAGAGCAGCCTGTGTAGATTTTCTTTGTACAATTCAAGGCTCTAAAAAGTGGGACATGAAATTGCATCAAGTCCTGTATTTTTTGAGTGGACTTCAGCTGCCTGGTAACAGAGGCTTCAAGCTGGAAACCCAGCTCAGCTGTGAAACAACACAGCTTTGTACCCCTGGCAGATTTCTGAGGAGACCACTATGCCCTGAGAAAGCACTGTGAGAAAGTCTGTACAGCACAACCACACATGGCACAAAAGGAAAAGTTACAAAGAGAAGCAAACTTCTGAGATGAGGATGACAGCTGGCTCAATTCAAACAAGAAAATCTTAACACAAGAAAGATTTAAAATATCCTTACAGGAGAAATAAAACAACAAAACAAAAAGGAGGTTGGTGGAAAATGGCAGCTCCGTAACATCTGGACAATGTTCCAGGGAGAAGAAAAGAACAATCCATCCCCTCCTGACCAACTCCTCCCTAGCCAAGAAAGCTTCCTCATGTGCTCAAAGGGGATGGCAAGCATACCAATGCCTTCCTTCACAGCTCAGGCTCTTTGGTGCATGCTAGCCAGTAAATAATTGCTTTATGCTTTCTATGTATCTTGCTTGCAGAGCATCTCTGTGCACACCTAAGGATGCCCAAGCAGCAATTCAGAGAATCAATCACAGTCTCTAAATATAATACATTTAAGCAATGGATTTAAGGAAGATAATAGAATTAGATCCTTAGCTGTAATGCACAAATATATATAACTTTGAATAGCAAGAATAAAAGAGGGTGAGTGGGAGGCCTTATTGTTCTCTACAACACCCTGACAGGACATTGTAGTAGGGTGGGGGTCAGCCTTTTCTCCCAGGTAACCAGTGAGAAGAGAAAATGGACTCAAGTTGCACCAGGGTGGTTTAGATTAGATTTGAGAAATTTTTGTTCATGTAAAGGGTTGTAAAGCACTGGAATAGACTGTAAGGGAACTGATGGACGGACTCACCGACCCTGAAAGTGTTCAAGAAATGTGGATATGTCACAGGAGGACACAGTTTGATGGTGGTGATGTGGGGTTGACAATTAGAGTTAATGATCTTTAGAAGGTCTTTTCCAACCTTAACAATTCTGTAACACATTACACTTCCAGAAAATAAGTACTGAAGGCTGGCGCAAGTATTGAAAAGGTGCATTTAGGCAAAACACTGGGAGCCATCAGCCACTAAGCTAGGTTGGAAAAGAAAGACAAAAAAGAGACCCTATACTGAAACCACCCAAAAATTATTTTGTGGCCCTCTTTTCACATTGTTGGATACTGGCTCCATCATACATTTCTAGAGTTCTACTGTCACTTGCCTTCTGGAAAGTACATGTGTGGGAACAGTGGGGGAGTAGGGTAGGAGGGAGAGCCCAGAACTCACTGTCTGTGAACTGCTGGTGATTTATCACTTACCTTTTCATAAACAGGGAAATACCTGGTTGTAGCTCGTTCAATGATTAAGGCAAGATTCTTTTCTTTTGTATCAGCTGGTTGAAAAGGGAGATACATGATCATTCCCATTAGGTCTGTAGTTCCCTCCACGTACATATCAATCCTGAAACAAAGATTTTTGTTCAACATATATAATTCAAACTTTCCATTTTGATTATTTTCCTGAAATACAACTCTGAAGTGATCACTGAGTAAAATGTTTATTAGTGAATGTAACATAAGACACTGGTTTATTTTCTTGTTTCTTCCACTTTGAGAGAACTTCCAGTTTTTTTCAAAGCACAAATTGTAAAACAGGCTCACAGTATATGCATTAAGCAAAAAAAAAGGCTGCAAGTAATGTATTTAAAGTGGAATTCATGCTGTTTTCCATTAATAATTTATTCATTTATGCTGTGGGAGAAAAGACTGAATATGCAAAACACTTCAGGGGAAAAAAAATAGTTTTGAGGTCTAATCATGACAGGATGCTGGCTAACAATTGCCAGTCCATAATAATCGCCACAGTCTCTGGAGCTGCCCTTCCATTCTCACAAAATAAACCCTCTACAGTAAGTGACAGTCTGTTAGGTATACTCACGTGCAGATACTTCACAGCAACATTCTTTCTGTAAATATTAACAATCAGGGAGGAGTGTTAGTAAGTGGCACACTGTTACTGTACCAAGCTCTCTCCTTGAGGTCCTTCCCATAGAGGTTGTACTTTGCTGCAATGTAGCTGAGGATGGCTCTGGTCTGCACCATCCTCATCCCATCCATCTCCACCATGGGCACCTGCTGAAACAGCAGGACTCCATCTAGGGAAGAAAAAGGAGCAAGCTATTCAGACTGCTGAAATACTACACTGAAAATAAGGAAGAGACCTGGTAAGAGACCAAGACATGTCTAATTCTCAGGGATGAAAGCACCCACAAGGAAGCAGCTCTTCTTTACAGGTCACATCATATTGCAGGTCTTAAAAAAAATACCTCCTGTTGTTCTTTTGTTCTGTTTGCGTGAATTTATGTTTAGGGTACGTTTTACAGACTCACCATTGAGCAATTTTTCTAAGTCTTCTTTTTTCTCTATGAATTCTTCCTCAAACTGAAAAGCAACAGTAGAAAACAACACTCACTCCAAAGGCAGTGGAGAAGGGGAAGGAAATCTGGCAGTTAGAGCCCACCTCTCCACGCTATTCTCCATACTTATCTCATTGTGTTGACCCTGTGGAGGAATCCATTCAGTGCCAGTAGCTGGGTGAGCAGCTGCAGTTCCAGCTGCTCATGGAGCCCTGGGAGCCCAAGGCAAGAGCTGGGAACTGCCTCTCTTTGCACAACAAAGGGCAGAGGACCTGTGGCACTGGCCAGGTGACACACAGCAGGAGCCCATGACCCCAAACCTTCACTTAGACTGTGAGGGTATAAAAGACCAGTAGTTTCCTTTGTTCTGGGTGCCCCTCCCTGGAGGCATAATGTTACTCTGTTGTTCCACCACGACTAAATTATTTTAAGGACTGATGGAGAGGCTCCTGGATGGTCAGACAGGAAAGTTTCCTTAACAGACCCCTACTTCATCTCTGCTCCAGCAGAGACTATAACCCAAGACTTTGTTGTCCCCAACCCTACAGGACTGTACAATGCATTGTGCTCCAGAAAGAACTTCCTCTTTAAAAGGACCAGAGTCACCTGCATGAACCATAAATGGATACCAAATAATTCAATTAAAAAGCAGCTGATGCCACATGAAATACTAAGAAACTTCTTGTAAATTATGCCTCTCTTACACAGCATTTATGTCCCTCTTTAATCCACTGGATTTTTTTTTTTTTTGATAAGGACATTTGAATGAGGACAAGATCTTGGTTTCCTCAGCACTCATGTTCTGCAAATTTTCTGTCAGCAACATTCTCAAGTGAGCATCATTTAAAAAAGCCTTTTATTTCCAACAGAGTATGAATAGTTTAAAAAAAACATATTCAAACAAAAACTTAATGTAGAAATTCAGATGTCTTAGGATGCCCTTCACCTGATGTGAATCTCGATAGATCCCCTAACACTGCTTTTGGGGCAGATGTGCCGATTTATCTTACTCAGGTCCTGACCCAAAAAACAAAAGATACTTTGTTTGGAGAGAATATTCAAAAGTTTTGATGTTCATCAGACATGAGGTATGCATGGTCCTTCAGTGGAGAAGACTCACGAGATACAGGGAAGTTATGAGCATTGACAAAAAGTCCCAGTTTTTTCTATAGCAACAATTTACAATCTCATCTTAAAGTATGTTTCAAAAATGACACCCATCAATTCTCTTTGTATGTTAAAATCTCTTTACTGTGCAACTATGGCTCAAGGAATATACGAAATACAACACAAGAGTGTATCACTCAATCTAAGCATTCTGCTTAGACAGATATGTGATGATGTGTATATCCCTAAGCACAGATGCAATTGGGAAACCATTCCAGAGAATACTATTTTAATCACAAATCACTTCATAAAAAATGGTACAAACCTCAACCCCAGCTGCTGCTAACAGCCATCGGATTGACTCCATCTTCCCCCTTCCCTTGGTGTAGTGCAGCTTGGGTTTCCCCGCCATGATTTCAGAGTTCTTGTTTCCTGATAAAAATAAGCTGAAGCATGGAAGCATGCTTTAAATTAGCATTCTGAATTCCCACTCCAAACTACTAAATACAGTTGGATGAACAAGAAAATAAAAGTACAATTGTGTCCTACACACTTGTGCTTGATGTAACTAAGTTTCCTGTGGATTAATGGAATAAAAGAAAAGCCACACATTACCAGAATATGCAACCACATCAAGACAATAAGCGTCTCCTAAATAATATATTATTGTAGTTTTAACAGCTTACAGGAGTTTTACAACCAAAGCAGAGCTGTAGGGTATTCCTGAACTAGCACATTTTTAACCTTGCAGTGATGCAATCTCTTCAGTAGGTTTTGGGTTTTGTCACATGTCATACCATACTTGAAGAATGTACGATATCAAATTAATGGCTTCCAAAGAACACCAAACTAGTGCCACCAGCACTATTTTCACCTCTCCCATATGACAATCCAGAGCCCTGTTCTCCTGTGCCTTATAGATCACCAGGCCTACTGCGTTCCCTATCCAGCTGCTACAGTCAAACTGTAACAGAGATTTGTGTTCCATCTGCCCTGAAAATTTAACTTTAAAATCAAAAAACAAACAGATGGAACTGACCTCTGTTGGGCAGATAAGTCCTGGGCAATGCCCCTGGCAGCAGGGGGCTCAAGTCAGCCCATCAGATGATGGCACTGGGATGAAACACTTGGTCCTTTCAAACTTCCCTACCATGTGCAGTCACATGCCACTGTATGACACTGGCAGCTGATGTGAGCTTGCCTGCTGCTGGAAACAAAGCTAACACTGTACTCTTATCACTAATGGGTCACAGAAGAATGAAGGAAATTTCATAAGACAGAGGCACAGACTAACAGAATGCTTCATTGTTAAGCCAAAGGTTTATCTGTTCACAGGCAGCTTATTTATGCATGCATACACTTCACAATACATAGCTGAGCCACAAAGTAAAAATTTTGGCCATAATCCCAAGGCATCAATAAAGAGGCACAAACAGCACAACAGTGCATCCTTGGCCCACTCCACTGAAGTCCTTTGTGCTGGGTGCTATCTTGCACAGGCTCTAGAGCACACAGCCATCACTCTGCCAGGGACTGACTCACAGGAGAAAGAGGTGCCCCCATGCAAAATGCAGGTCTTCAAAAGCACTGCTCAGCTTCCACCTAGCCCTGTGTTATAGTTTAGCAAGAGAAGAATTTTAAAAAAGAATACAAAACTTCCAACCACTAAAAAACTAGACAAAAAAAAAACCCCCGAGAACTTCCTCTTTTCTCTTTCACAAGTTACCATCAAGTAACCATTTACAAGACCCAAACAACACGTTAACCCTTTCAGTACTTCAAGCCTCCCTCAAATTAAAAAAAAACCCAAAAAACAAAATACAAACATACAAAAAAACCCAGAAAACAGTCATTAAAAAATATAAAATCCCAGATAAAAAAGATAAATAAATACCTTAATTTTGACACTAAAATCCTCTTACAAACTATAGAGAAAAAACTCTTTTTCCCTATAACTCATACAACTATTTTAAAAATTGAAGTTAATATCAAACATAAACCTCCATATTAAAATAAAAAAATATTTAAATAACTGTAATTCCATAAAGTTTAAACAAACAAAAAAAAGTAATTCTATACCCCCAAGAGATAAAGAAAAAAGAAAATTCCTAAAAATAAAAATTATTTTTAAAATAAATAAAAACTTTTATCTATAAACAACTCATCTTTAAAACAATACCCCATAAATCAACATAAGCCATAAACAAACTGTAAGAAACTTATAAAAAATAAGAAGAGCTTCACAATTACAGATTTCCCCAAACAACTACTATTTGTAAAAAAAACACGACAACTGGGTTTTTTCCTTATAGAAAAGTCTCCATAACATTAGCAATAAAGACTTCTCTCCCTAAGTAAACTAAAAAAAAGAACTATTTTAAAAATAGTAAACTAACTAAAATTTTAAACTTTGTTTCTTTACATTACCAGTAAGAAAAAATATTTAAAAAAATATATTCTAAAAATTTTGTTCTAATTCTTATTACTCTTTCTTTTAGTTAATGTTAATAAACTTTTCTTTATACCCTTTTAAAATTTTAAACCTACTTTACCTTTCTCCTAATCCAACCTCGCAACAAAAAAGAAATACATTAATAATCAACCAACACCAAACCCACCACGCTCTAATACATTAACCAAAAAATCTCAAAATTAATAACATCTCAAATTAACAAACCAAAACCACTAGACAAAATGAGTATTTCTACCAAGTTCCGCAGTACCGTCTGCCCGGGCCGCTCCACAGGGTACCGGAACAGCGCCGACACGGCACGGAGCGGCCCCGCCTCCGACACAGGGCCCGCCCGCCCCCTCAGGCGGCCGCTCCGCCCTTCGGCTGCCGCCGCGGCCTCGCCGTGCCCGCCGCCCGCCCCGCTGGAGGCCTTCCCAAACCCCACCACCGCAGCCCAGGGAAAGCCAGCTCAGCCTTGTCCTGCAGTCTTGCCGCGTTTCTGTTGCAAAATGTGGAATGTGTAAAAATTTTCTTGACAAAGGATGTGCTTTGATGTTTGATCTTAGTATACTTTCAAGCCTAATCAACAAGAAAGAAGTTCTAATCTGTGAAACATAGAGCAGCGACAAAATGAGTATTTCTACCAAGTTTCAAACTAAAACCACCACACCCTGGCAGTGCCTGTGTCCCCGGACACCTCAGTCTCTGGCTCTCCTGATACAAAAGGATGTGCTTGTCAATAGATTACATCTTGCTTGGAGCTGCATCTAATTCAGCCCTGCTGGATGCCCAGCTAGATTCCTCACACCTGAACTGCAACAAGGCACTCAAAAAGTGCCTTGGCACAGCTCCCTCACCAGGCCCTACACACACAGGACCATGACCTACACTTCATTTCTATTTCCCATGTATGACTTACACTGTAACAAGTAAGAGAGCTCCTGACCTTCAAAAATACTTCATTCCCCGATGCTCAGAAAGTAGATGTTGGTTTCAGCTTCACCAGGGAGAAGAACTGCACTTAAACCCTCACAGACTGGAGAAACACTTCCCTCCAGCACGTGGGATCGAGGCTGAGAAACACTATAAGGACAGGCTAGCATAGGCAGAAAGAGCAAACACCCTTGACCTTTCCACAAAGCAGAGATAGAGCTGATAAAACTCAGCCCACGCAGAGCCCTGACTGCCAGTCCCAACTCAGTGCTCCTCTCACAGCAGCCGGGAATATCTTCCTGCAAATGCACGGCTAAAGGTCCGAATTTGGGGTTCAGGCTGAACACTTACACAGGGCTGCAAACTAATTTGGTACAGAGCCTTTTACGGCTCTGTAATGAATATCCCTTTGTAAAATACTGAGCAGTGATAAAAGAGTCGCAAAATTGGTAAACTGTCTTTCTTGAATAGCAATAATGGACCTGAAAATTAATCATAAACTTTCTTGATGTTTTAGTGCATCAGACTTTCCTTGGACCACAGCCATGCAGGTGTCAGAGAAGCAGCTACTGCTGTACTCGCTGTGTTAAAAACATCACACATTGTTTTGTCCTAAACAACTCAGGCACCAGCCTTTCAGTGAGGAACAAGTAAATTAATTCAGCAGCAAGCTCATAATCTGATCCAAGATCTTAAACTTTCTTCCTGATTGGATATGGGAGCCAGAGCAGTTCTCTGCACCTCTTTGTGGCCCGAGCCCGTCCCGCGCGGGGCTGTTCCCCAGGGCGAGCTCGCAGCACGGCGCTGCCTCGCCCGGCTCGGCCTCCGGACCATCTTAAGGCTGCAGCTCCTCACCAGCAGCTGGCTTCCACTGGGACTCGGGCCAAGTCCGCGCTCGACAAGCTTCCTTCCACAGCCGGAGCTAGGAGGAGCGTCTGGACGAGGGGAAGTACCCCCAGAGATTGCAAAACGTGCACTCCAAAGAGCAGCTACTCTTCAGCTTCCCCGCTGATCCTACCCAGAGCCAAACACACACCCCATCCGTGCGCACCCTCCCGCCCGTCCCGGTCCCTGCTGCAGGAGAGAAGCCGGGGAATAATCTCTGGACAAACTCCCCGGAGCAGCACGGCAGGACGTTCCCGGAGGACCAGCCGGTCTGTGACGGTCCGGGCAGGAGCCCTGATCCCGGCAAGAACCACTCACTCCACCGCGCTGGCACCGCCCGCCCCCCGCCGCGACCCCCGCCCGCCGCAGTACCGTCTGCCCGGGCCGCTCCACAGGGTACCGGAACAGCGCCGACACGGCACGGAGCGGCCCCGCCTCAGAAGTTCTAATCTGTGAAACATAGAGCAGCTACCAAACAAGGTCTAAGTGAAGTCCAGCTGTGGGAAAGAGAAATTGTCAGAATTGCCTTGGTTAGGGTTGAACATGTTTTAATGGTCTCAAACCTAGGGGGAGTTGCTTGGAAAGAAGGACGTACCTCTGACAGTGGATACATAAAATACAGAATTTATGGGCCACAAGGGCATTTGGCAGAACTCCCAAGATAAGGAAGAAACTAAAAAAGCCCACACAGCAACTGTGCTGAGATCACCCCTGAACGGATAAAAGATAATTCTGGCAGGGAGGGATTCCCACACCACTGACTCACAGCCTACCAAGTCAAGAAACCCAGCTCAAAAGAACAGAAAGACCCAATGAGGATGGAGACTAATTAGCATGAGAAGAGGGAGAATCATTAACCAGTAGGAGAGAACATTAAGAGAATTAGACGATTTGTAGTCAATGAAAATTTATGCATTTGCTTGCTAAAACGAATAAATAGTAAAAACTTGTCATTGATTTTTGGAATACCACTAAGCAACCAAGATTGTACAGCTCTGAAATTAATAGTCAGTGTCTCTCTTAAGTATGTAATTACTGCTTCGTTGCACACTGGGTAACAAACCCAGGTTTTCTGGACAACATTTCCACTGGGCTGGCTCTGAGGCAGCTGCACATCAGGGACATGGTCAGGACACAGTGAGCAGGGACAGGCTTGGAGGCCCCTGAGCAGCAGCGATTGTGTGACCAGGGGAGCCTGGGGCTGCAGCCCCTGTGCAAGGGGCGCAAGCACTCCTTCTGCCAGGGGCTCTGGCTCTGTGTGGCCAAAAACTGGGATCTCTGTGGGGATCCTGAAACCACGTGGCCATGACCGGAGCTCGTCCTCAGCGCGTGGCTCGTGGCACGGAGTCAGTACCTACAGCCCAAGTTTCTGGCTTGAGTTTCTGACAGCACTCAGCAGCTGCCAGTGTTGTCCAAATGCTTCAGTGAGGCAGGAGGGAAACAGCTCCTGCAGCAACTCTCTTGAATACATGCTTTGCTGCTGAAAAACATGGGCTTATTCCCTTTCTTTGATGACAAAAACTGGTTCCAGCTGCATGACATTTCATATGAAGAAACTGTTGGTTTTAGCGAGAGCTACTCAATTTAGTGAACAATTTCCTTTGCTGGTAGGATCAAAAAAATTTGTTTTCAGTACTTTCATTATTTTCCCACTGCCAGCAAATAGTTTCTGCAGCTTTAGACTCAGTAGAAAATTTTGAGCACTTTAGGTACATCTTCCTCTCGTATTAGCGGTTTCCTCTGGCTGCCAGGCTGCAGGAATTTCTTAATTGTGGGGATATTGCTTACTGTAGTGTCCTTTCACCACCTTAATCCCAACACCACAAAAATTAAAGCATTGATATTCCAGGGGTAGTCTTTTTCCATTTCCCTCTATAAAATTTGTGTGGATCCAGGATGGCGGTTCAAGGTAATAGCATCAACTGAGCCACAACCTCCTTGCCACATACCTTCTCATAGACTGGGAAGTATCTGTTTTCAGCCTTGTCCATCATATTTGCAAAATGTTCCTTCTTTTTGTCTGCAGGTTTGAAGGCATACATCATGAGTAACTCATTCAGATCGAACATTCCTTCCACATACATATCGATTCTGAAAGGAATAGATCCACTTGGTCAGGTCACACACAGTAGGTCTGAACAGCACAATAACTCCTGGCACAACCTCACTGAGATGCTGGGAAATCCCTGCCCCTTCTATCCCCCACACACATCCTGGCCAAGTTCCCCCTGGAATGCAGTTGCGCTGGAGGCAGGCAGCGGGGGAGCTTGGGCCAAAGGCAAATGCAAAATTCCTAGGGAAACCTAAAGACTGTAGCCCTCTCACTTCTTACTGGGACTGATTCCTGTCTGGACTATGGGATTTTCAACCTGATCACAAAATTGTCATATGTGCCATCCAGACTTGTGTTAAAAATCCAGACAGCCTAAGTTTCACAGCAGGTCCATACAACTATCTAGCAAATATCTTGACACATGTTATGGGTGGTTGGTTGGAGGCAGAAACAACACGGTCTCAGAGAGAGGTTCTCAACAAACAGCATGTTTTATTGTTCAGAGTTTCTTATACAGGCAGTTCAAAACTACCGGGTCTCAAGTGCTGGTTGGTCTGGGTCTTAACACTGCCCAGTACTTGGACCAGTAATGTCTCTGCATTTACGGTTGAAAGGGATTAGGTGCTGTGTTTGAGTTCACATCTATCCTATCAC